ATAGGGACCAGTGGCAAATACATTAGGATGAACGAGAAATACAGAGATGAAGGCAAAGAGGGGTTGAAATAAAAGACAGAAACAGAAAGGGAAGCAGAATATACCTATTAATTTTTTATTCCCATGAGATAGGTGAAGAATCATAAACAGCAAAACGAATTATTTGTTTCTTCAAATAGATAATTGATTCAAAAATACAGTGTAATTTGAGATATATACAAATAGTATCTTTTCCTTAGAAACAATGCTTTTAGAATTTTGACTGATTACCTGCTCAATCCATTCTGCCTACAGAAATTTTTTCCTTCTCCTTTTGGTCAAGATTGTTCTAAAGTAACTAATCCACCTAGGACAGGAGCTTCATGACTATTGGGACACTGCCTGGACTGGTGACCACTCATCCCTATGGTTCAGTCTAGTATCTTGCACTTGATAGATATTCAATAAATTTTTTGGATGATTGAATGAAGTACCTCCTTATACCAAATCTAAAGACCTCGTCTTAATGACTCAGAGTGAAAGGCAAATGAGGGACAAGGACAAGTTGAATAGCAAAAAGATGGACAGGCTAAGGGGCAGGACAAAGAAGGGAAGGATGGTTTTTTTTTTTTTTTTTTTTTTTAAGATTTTATTTATTTTATTTTTTGCCCCCAAAGCCCCAGTAGATAGTTGTATGTCATATCTGCACACCCTTCTAGTTGCTGTATGTGGGACTCGGCCTCAGGATGGACGGAGAAGTGGTGCCTCGATGCGCACCCGGGATCCGAACCCGGGTCGCCAGCATTGCAGTGCGCGCACTTAACCACCAAGCCACAGGGCCGGCCGGAAGGATGGTTTTTATTAACTGGGTTCACAGTCTAGTTTATGGAAAGCTAGTTGAAATGGATTGGACTGAAACCCTCAGAACGAGGTGTGAATACGACAGTCTCAGGGCAGCTGTGATGCAGTGAGTAGATGCCAGTCCCAAGCACATGAAAGCCAGCATGGCACGAAGTGTGTGGTTAGCTTTTTAAATAATCTTTTAAAAGATCTATTTCTAAGAAATAGAATAGATGAGAATCTGGCTTATTTTAATTTGTGGTTATAACATCTGGTGAGAGTACAAGTTTTACATTATTTATTTAAAGTAGAACTGCACCTGCTAGTCAAACTCAATAACAACTCGTTAAAATAACGGGGTAATTTTATTTGGATAGCCGTTGTGGGCAAGAAGTGGAACAGGCAGCAGACTTTCTCTTCCCCAACAGTGTCTACAGGGGTACAGCACACAAAGGGCATAAGCCATCTTTAATAAGAATCAATGAATATCAGGGTACATATTATGTTTGAGGATATAAAAATGTAGCTTCTTGATCCTCACTTGGTTTTATACAGGTTGAAAAGTATTAAGCACACTCTTCCCAATTATGTCATTCTGTTGGTCTAGCCTCAGTGCTCAGAATACAGCTTGGAGCACAGTAGATGCTCAATAAAAATCTGTTGAGTGAGTGAGTGAACAAATGAATCTGGAGCTCTGAGCCTTGGGGACACTCTATTTTTCCTAATTTACTCCAGCACCACTCTACATCTGGGTTGAGTTCTTTCTTTCAGTTCTCCAGATCCAAAGGAAAGTGAAGTCTACTCCAGTCTGTCCCCAGGTATAATGGGTAGGGCCACAGAATCACATTTTCCAAAATGGAAAATTTCCTTATTGTTTTATTTGTTTTTAAATAAAGTAATATATGATCATTTTAAAAGAAAAATTAGACAATATGAAAAGCAAAAGGAAAGGAAAGTTACCACCAATCCCCCAGAGTAAACAGCGACCCCTATTACAGATGAGGAAGCCAAGGTCTACATCTAAAGGAAGAGGGATATGCGCAGGGTCTTATATGCCCTTTATCTTCAGATCAAAACCACAACTTTGGACAGCCCTTGATTTCTGGCCTGGCCATCTGTTTCCTGTACACACCCTGAAGTTTCTCATCAAAGTTGGCTGGACCATAAAGCCTGACCTTCACTATTTCCATAAATGATCAGATTTTTCAAAATCCTAAAGGGTGAACATAGACTTACTTACCAGACCCCAGAATAACAGAATTAGAAAGTTCACCTTGGAACATGAAAATATAAACTTAATACAAACATAAAGAAGTACTTAAGTACTTCTCTCAAAAAAGAAAGAAAAAAAAAGGAATCAGATGGAAGGTAATACCCCGAAAGAAATAAGACAGACAGAAATGTAAGTTAAACAAGGTTAGGATAAATTTGTGTAAAGTATGTAAATTTATTGCAGCTTATTAAGGGTACCTAACTAAGCTTCATTGAGTACATTCCTTTTAACATTGACTTTAAAGGAAGACATCTTTTCACACAAAACAAAAAACCGGAAGGAATGAACACGTAGCTGTGTGGAAAATTCTTAGGCAAAATCCGATTCTAAAGAAACCTAGTTCATTCACTCTAACTACAGTATGGCTCTAACCACAGCAAGTTAGTTCTATCGTTCCTTTCACGTTGATTCCCTGTCTCTGTATTCACAGAAAACAAAGAAGCTGAAGATACTGATCTAGCCTGATGCCCAATTTCCTGAGCCCCTCTAGCCCCAATTCTGTGAGGGCTGCCCCCACCCTCTGGCCTGGTCTGTTTTCTGATCCTGCTGTACTTTGGTTTCCTAGCACACCATGAGGGACATAAAGGCAGAAATCATGTCTATTTATATCTCACCATAATTTTCCCTGTCCCCAGCATAGACACTGAAACTTGATTGGTACTTAACAAGTATTTGTTGGGTAAAGATATTTTGTAGACATTCAGGAGAACCTGAGGCCAAATAACCCGTCATTGGAAAGAATAAGATATGCACCACTGGGGCTGAACATTGCCTACAGGTTTTGATGTCTACTCCACAGGAGTCCCACCACATTCTCCCTGGTTCTCCTCACTCCCTGATTTTTTGGTCTCCTTTGACGGTTTCCGTTATGTCTTTGTGATCCCTCACTCTGTCTACACTTGCTGTCTTGGCACTCTCACTACCATCCACATTCAGCTTTTGTATTACCACACCATACTGAGTGTGCCCAAACTTGCTTCTCTAATAATAATGTCTCTCCCTTTCTGAACAAAGACTGAAAATTTCTATCTCCAAATGCCTTGAGGAAATCTCCATTTGGATATGGTTTCTGCCTGAAATTAAACACTCCCCCCATGCGCATGCAAGAATGGAACCCTTCCTAGTTTTCCCACTTGAGACAATGCAGAGACCTTCCTTCCAGCTCCTCAGACTTACATTCTTTGGATTGTCTTTGAGTTTCTCCCTGTCCTGAAAGGTTTGCTAGTACTCCCTCTATAAAGACTTTCCTATTGATCTTTATTTCCATGTTCACTGCCCTGGTTCAGGCCTCCATTATCGTATGTTCAGTACTGACTCTTCCAGTGCTGGTATCCCCACACTCTAGTCCACCACAGAGAACTTTCTCCAACGTATTTTCGTCACTCGTAGCTCCCCTGCTAAGTCTCCTTTGCCTTTTCTGTTTGCACCCAAGATGTGCAAATCCAAATCATTCTTCCTTAAGCACTCAACGGATTTCTTGCACCAGGATTCTTATTTCCACCTCTAAGCTTTTGCTGGTGTCATTCCCTCACCAAGATGGCTCTTCTCCTCCTCTTCATCACCATCCACTACTTCCTCCATGGCTTGCCCACTTCCAAGAGCTTTTCCTGACTAGTTTTATCTCAGGATGATGACTGCCTTTGCTTCTCTTGGCATTAATGTTTAGTTCTGGCTAAACTGCTATGTTGCTTCTTACTTATTTAGCTAATGATAATGGTTTAAAAGAATAATAATAATAACTACCACTTATGGAAGCCTACTATGTGCCAGGTACCGGGCTAGGCCATTTATGAAGTTTAATAATCTTCACAACAACCACACAAATTCTGTAGACATTATGCCTATTTTACAAATAAGGCAACTGTGGCTTAGAGAGAAGTCACTTGCTCATGGCCACACAGCTCATAAGAGGCAGAGATGGGATTTGAACCCACAGAGCCCAGGTACCATTCGTGGTACCATGCATGTATGTGCATGACATTCCATGAATGGCAGCCTACTCTGACCAAGTTAATCCAAGGCAATAATTTTACCTTCTTCTTTTGCCTTCTCCATACAAACAAATAGACCTATGGCCCAAAATACTTTTTGTTATAGGTGTAAGTTTGCAGTTTTCTACTGCGGAATCGCTGAGATCACTTTACTGCCATCATTTCATTTGTGAGTTGGGATTTCTGAGAAGCAAAACTGATTTGGTTTTAAGACCATTGTTTAACATTTTTCTTCCTATGAATGCCTACTCTGCTTTCTCAAAGGAACATCTGATTTAAGCCACATTAAATGCCACTGTCCTTTGCTCTGAGGCCTAAAATTTTAAAATATGCATTTATGCCCTGTGCTTCACATGTCTTTGCTTTATGTCCCCAACTCGCCCTTGAAGTCACCATTACAGAGGCCTCACACAACATAAGAGCTTCCAATTAGACTCAGAATCTCCACAGTAACATACTCCATCGGCTGTTAACCCATAATATGTGGATTACTGGATTTGGATGCTTTTCTAATAAGAATAAAAATTTGTCACAAGATCCGTCTGGGGCTTATTGCCTTTACATTTTTGGACTGAAGACTCCCATTTCCTAAATGGTTTCAATATCCACTATTTGTCATTTTTCTGTCATTTCAATATTATAACTGCTTTTTAACTTTTATCCACACATTGCTTTTGTCATTTAAAAATTCCAATATGAAAGACAATGATTAAATGCAACTATTTGATTTTTCTCAAATCTCTTTTTCTTGATGTTTTTCTTTTTTTATGCAGAATTTAGAGTCCTGGGAAAATTTTCCCTAAATACTTTTGCAAACAGTTTAGTGTGCAATACATTGGGCTCTTCAGAGCGATGATCCTTGAGGCCTGAAACCCACATTGTTAATAACAGAATACAAATACAACCTGGGTCCTTACCTTTCTGCTTCGAGGCGCATCTCTTCCCGCTTTTGCCTCCTAAGTTCTCTGCGACGTTCAAAATCATCCATGGTGTGGTTTCAGGTTTCGGGAGACCAGATAATGTCTGGATTTAAAGAGAAGGAGGTAAAATCAATATCATGGATGAGTCAATATTTCATGAATCGTTTTGCCCCCACCGACCATTTTTTCATCCCTTCAGTTTTTCTTTACTCATAAAAAAACCCCTTAGAAGCCCGTGATCAATTTCTGACTCCCGAGCCGAGTCCTTTACGTGTTAAATTCAGTCTCATTCATGAAACTGTTAGAGACAAATAAGTAAGATTCCAGGATTACAGTTAACAAAATAAAGACCTCTAGGAGACAGAGAGGTTTTGAAGACTTGAAATATTGGTGGGATCATTTAAGAGCTGCTGAATGATTTTGTTCTTTGTAACTTGCTGACTCACAGACAAAAGTTATGAAAAAGTGAACAAAGAAAGAGGAAAAGAGAACAAGAGTGAAAAAAAAAGAAAGAAAAATTGTCAAGAAAAGGAATATGTAGGAGCTAAGAGAAAAATAAAAGAGGGAAATAAAATAATACAAGTATCCAGGCATAATTTGCATATTCTAAAAGAATATTAATATCAGAATGATAATAAAGACCACAGCAAAAATACCAGGGACATTTTAAAAAGCAGCATTTTAAAAAGCAGCTACGTTATGATCAAGCTGTTTTCCCAGCTCAAAAGTCCCGGATCTTTGTAACCCAACCATTTTATCCTTTCCTACCTCCTCCGTGATGGTTTTAATCCCAGAAAGATCTTCCCTTTCCAGCTCTTCAACTGAGGAGGCTGCTTCCCCTGCGTTTCTGTGCCATGGAGTCAAGTATTCCAGAATTCCCCTGCAGCCCCCAAACCCAAAATGACTACCAGAAAAGGGGAAGCGGGCCCTTTTTGTCCTTGCTTTGTTTACAGAGCTGTCAGTGGTTAGTTAAACTCGGCCTGGAATCTGGCATTTAAGGCCTGCTTGAAGATTGTTTCCTGTGTGGAGCGGGAGGCCTCCACTTCCTCTGGAATCCTAGACTCTCTGCTGCACTCAGATCACAAAAAATATTTTCCAGCCCTTTCTGTGCACATGAGACGAGCCATTTGCCCCGCTAAGAAAATAAGGAGCCGTGCAAAACCTAAAGCTATCCCCTAATGGCATTTTTGTTTGATGGAACAAAAAGCAAAATTTAGATTTTGAAGCCAAGTTCAGAAACCTCCTTAAGTAAATTGTCAAATTCTTTTATTTTCAAGTACTTTTTTCCCTTTAAAAAACCCACAAAAACAAAAATAAAATCTCAGCCAACAAAAACAAAACTATCCGTGTTAGAATTTTTCCCCCCTTCTTATCCCCTAGGGTCTTATTTATACTGCTTATAAATCTTTTGGAAATTCAAATTTTGGTGTTTATTTGGGGTTTTTTAATTTTAAGGTGTTTTTCTACCTTCTCTTACCAAGAATACTTTTCAAGACTTTGCTAGTTATGAAGGAAAGAATCAGTTTTCCTTTTTTAATTTCATCAACCATAAAGACATTTCTCTATATTTTCCAACCTGATCTAATCATAGTTATCAAAATGGAAAAAGAAAAGTGATTTGAGGATCCCCTGAGCGGCTGTCCGAGTGTCTTTCTCCTCTAGGTGGGCTCCTGTTCTGAGCAGCACAGGGCATGTGAGCACAGCCCTCTGGGCAGTGGGACCAAAACCCAGTTGCTTGAATGCAGGGTGTAGTGAGAGAGTAAACTCTTCTCGTTCCTTTCTTCAATAAAGTCTTTTGTTGTATATAAACCACTTCTCGAATAACTATAGCAACAGCAAACAGAAATGGGAGAAAGAGGTCTGTCTGTAAGCAAAGAATTTCACTTTTTAAAATTTATCCAAGAAGCTTGATGAGCATCCTCTAAGCCTCCGGGTCTCGCTCCTCCCTTATCCAAGCTAAGTAGTCACCCTGGCTGCTTGTTAGCCATGGTGGTTTGAATTTCTCAGCCGGTACCTCTGGTTGAGGTGCTAATGAGCAGTGAAACAAACATCCCCCAGCAGGCCGAAGAGACACACGCTTGGCAGAGCCGGGCCGTGTCTTGGAGTGCTCAAAGGAAGTGAAACTGACTAGCATCGTGTGGTCACTTTGGCTGGCTATCCTCACTAGCTCTCTACCCACGCAAATTCTTTTTCTCCTACCCATTCTCTCCTCCTAAGTTCACCTTTTCTTACTTATTCGGGCACTTTTTTCTTTCCCAACCATGGGAAAACTATACCTATCCAGTTATTTATTCATATGAATGCTGCGAGTATGTATGTGGGGTATTTAGGCAGGGGCGGAGAGAGAGGGAGAGTGAGCTCTATGATGCATCTGCATAGACAAGTGCCTTTCTAGGTTGTGCTTTGTGGACACGTGGTGGGTACACCTGAGGGAGAAGAGAAAACACATCTGGGTACCGTGTAGTATGACTCTTTATTGGGGTGTATGTGGTTGGGCCGGGGAGAGAAGTGTGTGTGTTTGTGAAAATGGCTCTCGGTTGGTCTCAAACCAGGATAGGGCCAGAGGCCTTCCTTAATCGTCACACCCTTATATCACACAGCTTTCTGAACTTCTCTGGTGCTGTTCCTACATAAGGGGAGCCGTGTCTGGATAGAATTGTAAGTGATTTGTTCCCCCTCTTTTGGGGGCAGCACCTTCCACGTCCCCACTTCTCATTTCCTCTCCTAGCCTCAGTCAATGCTGAATTCCTTCCGGCAACATTGTTAGGAAACAAACTCTCAACCAATGAAGTGATGACATGTCAAGGCAGAGAGATTCTGTAAACTGTGGAGTTCTTGAGAGTCATAAAGGACAGAGTAGCCTGAATGAGAAATGCAGGCTGGAGGAGGTATGTAGCAATTCATGTGACAGATGGGTTCTTGAAAAGTCTTATGAAAATCTAAATTTTTGTGCTTGGGGGATTGTAGTCATGCTACTGAAAGAACTCTGATGTGACTCCTTTTGTAAAGGCAAAAAAGCTCTTTGCAAAGCCAGATGTAACATTGTCTATTGATAAATGTATCTGTCTTTTCAATATGGGTTCTCAAATACCAGATTTTCTTGAAACAGGGCACATCTATGTTGTAATTAAGTGATAAATCAGTGTTGTAGATTTCAAATCACTTAACATATTGCTTCCTTTTGGTAATGACACCACAAAGCCCATGGCCCAGGTGAAGGGCACTATAAGCGGACTTTCTGTATCTCACCACCATGTTAGGACCTCCTGAAGTTTCATCTCTTCCCGTTCCTTCCCACTGTTTTTCCCTCTCTACTCCCTTTTGGAGGAAGGGAGAATATATCAACACTTCTTCTGCCATTTCTTTTTTCATTTGTCTCATTCTCTGTCACTTTCTTCTCTATCTCTTCTCCATTTCCCTCCCTAAATTGGGAAGTAAAGTATATTTATTAAGTCCAATCTATGATTCTTTTCCTTAAATTAAAAAAAATTGAATTGAATTTCTGATGTGCATCTTTCAACCAAGAATTCTAATTATTAGTATGTTTCATGTTCACAAAGCTTTTTCTTTTTTTGCCTTTATGGGCATGTGGACTTCACTGTGGATATTTCCTGTGACTCCCTTATAAGGAGAACTACTCTGTTTCTGCTTTTGTTTGGGACAGGGTTTGGTGGCAGATAAGAAGCCATCTTAGGTGTGTGTGTGCCTGTGCACGTGTGCAGATGTGTGTGTGTGCACATGCACACACATGCACACGTGTGTAAACACAGTCAAGGCAGGAGATGCTTGTGAGCAGGCAGCTTTCTAAACCAGCACTCTGTTATTAGGGGGAGAAGCCATGAGGAGAAAGCTAAGTCCTATCTACCTTCAAATTAACATAAACTGAATGGTGAATGAGTGGGGGAAAGTCCTTGGGCTCTTTGGGCAGTGCCAATATTGGTCTTGGAATGCATAAAGAATGAAATCTATTGTGTCAGGGAAACTGAATAGGCTAATGCAGCTTCCGAAAGTAAATAACATTTATTGATTATGTACTATGTGCTGGGTCATATTTTTTACTTTTTTGTTTTTTACAATTAATGAGCTTTATTTTTGAAAGTAATTTTAAGTTTAAAGAAAAAGTGAACATAAAGTACAAAGTTCCCATATACTCCCTCTCCTCCAACCTGCCCACAGTTTCTTCTATGTTTGCATTGAATTGTGTACACCCTGCCAAAAGATATATTGAAGTCTTTAGCCTCAGAATATGACCTTATTTGGAAATAGGGTCTTTGTACATGTAGTCAAGTTAAGATAAGGTTATTAGAGTGGGCCCTAATTCAATATGACTGGTGTCCTTAAAAAAGGGGAAATTTGGACATAGAAACAGACACACACAAAGGGAAGATAAAGTGAAGACACAGGGAGGATGCCATAAGATGAAGGGCAAGGAATACCTGAGGCTACCAGAAGCTGAGAGAGAGGCGTGGAACAGATCCTTCCCTAGGGTCTTCAGAAGGAGTACGGCCCTGCTGACACCTTGATTTTGAACTTCTAGCCTCCAGAACTGTTAGACAATGTTTCTGTTGTTCTAAGCCATCCAGATTGTGGTATTTTGTTATGGCAGCCCTAAAAATCTAATACAGCCTATTACTAACATCTCACAGTAGTGTGATACATTTGTTAGAATTGATGAACCAATATTGATACATTATTATTAACTAAAGTCCATAAATTACATTAGGTTTCACACTTTGTGATGTATAGTTCTATGGGTTTTGCCATATCCACCATTATAGTGTCAGACAGAATAGTTTCACTGCCCTAAACAGCCCCTGTCCTCCATCTATTCATCCTTCCCTCACTCCCGCACCCCAATCCTTGATTTTTTTACTGTTTCTATAGCTTTGCCTTTTCCAGAATGCCATATAGTTGAAATCACACAGTATGTAGCCTTTTCAGACTGTGTTCTTTCACGTTGCATTTACATTTCCTCCATGTCTTTTTGTGGCTTGATAGCTCTGCTGGGCCATTTAAAAATACGTAAGATTATTTTATCTACATAATAAAACTACGAGGTAGCTATTATAATCCCCATTTACAGAATTTCAAAGTGTGTGCTCCTAACCACTATAATATTCTTGGATTAATCCACTATTTCCCTCTAGGAATTGTTTTCCCTTTCAGGGAATAAGAGTGCCCCAGGAAAGTTTTGAAAAGACTATTATCAGTGATTTCTGATTTCATTCATTATCATATAAACTCAGATAAAAAGTGATCTTGAAAATTACTTACGCCTCTTCAATTTCAAATCCATTTGGTTTAAATCATAGAATTATCATGTCTCAGAGATCTCAATCAAATTAAACCTTGAAAATATTTATTAAGCCCCTATTATTTTATCATTACATTTTTCTAAGATTCATAAACCAGGATGGTCAGATTCTAGACAGCATCATTACATACTTTTCTTTGAGATGGTAGAGTTTCTTCTCTTGCGTTGTGCCTTCCCCATTACACACCTTGCTCCTCTGACCCACTATACCCTCATGCCCAACATAACTATTTCTCCATTATTGCAAGGAACTCTAGTCTCCCAGCCCTCATAACCATTAATAGACAGCTCCTTTCTGACCAGACATCATTAGGTATCCACTCTAAATTTCATGGTCCAACTACTTCAATGAAGCCTCACAAATCATTTATACCATCAATATTCAATGGACATTTACTGAGCATTTACTATGTGCCAGGTTCTCGTCTAGGCACTGGGGATACAACAGTGAACAAAACCAAAAGGGTCCCTGCTCTCCTGGAACTTAATATTTCAGACTTTCTTGCTCCCTTAAACTTCTACCAGGTCTATCATACCCATCTTCAACCTTGGATCACATCTATGATCTGCTTTCTGGTTTTTATTCCTGAGATTCAGGGCTTTGTGGGGGAAAGCCAGGGACCATGTTTTGTCTGTCCCAAAGGTTTGTGTTAGTTTCAATTGGGTGATTATTGCAACGCAGTGATGCTTCTCTTCATCTTACATGTACTGGGTGATTTCTGGGTGTAATACACTCCAGCAGATTCCTCAGTCCTGCTCTTCAAA